TATTTGCACAGTCATCATTTCCATAAAATGAAGCCGATTATATTATAGAAAAGAAGCCACCCATTTCTGATTATTACGATAAATTATTACTATTGATAGCTATCGATCTTCGGTTCCTGGATTGACTTCGCCTGTCGATCAAGGAAAGAAAAGTACGGAAAAGTTCACAAAGCAGAAAGTATATCTTTACTCCGGACAGATTTCTGCGTAAACTAAAGAAAAGATTAACAGTGGATCTATTTTTCTCTCAGGTCTTTGCTTCCGACACTTCAGTAAACATACAAATTTATCTTTAAACCACAGTGGCGGTCACGTGACGTTTGAAATCCTTTAGCAGGTCAAACTATGAGACTCGAAAATGGAGGCTTTAGTTCATTTTATGGCCACACTTTGTAAAACTAATCGCATTTTGAAATATAACATTTTCCCACTTTCCAATATAATTACTGACCAACTGTGTGATAACAATCCTCTCACTTTGAATGTGCCGCAGTGCCGTTCTTTGAAATAAAAAAAAGAACAAAAGTTGCCACACTTTGTCAGTCACCGATACAAAGAGTGATGTCGGTTATTACAAAGTTTAAGAGTTTGTCAGTATTACAAAGTGAGACACCTATTTCATTACACATTATGCAGTGGCGGATCCAGACCTTGAGCTAAGAGGGGGGCCCGATTTTGTTTTACTTGCGCTGCCGGCTTTTCTTCCTTCTGTCATTTCTTCTTCTTTCACCCAAAATAAGGGGGGCCCCTCCCCTAGATCCGCCACTGTTATGTCAGGTTTGTCAAAGTGCGACTGTCATTGCAAGCTGCAGCGGAAAAGGAGTGTTATCACAAAGTGCAGCAGCTACATCAATACAAAATGCGACAACCGTTATTACAAGTTGTGAGAGGTTTAATTCTAAGTACTTCAATCATAACAAAGTACAGCGGTAGCAGGAGTTGGTACAAGAATGGAATGACTATAGTGATTCTTAGTATTCTTCAGTACCAAACACTTGAAACAGAAACCACTGGTCGGTGTGTAAGAGTGCCTAGTACCTAAGGCTATACAATGCCAAAAAGGGAAGAAGAAAATAAAACACTAATAGGGGAAATAGGAATTAACGCGAAGTAGTTGCATGAATAATTCCCCTACAGCTGTATTTCACGGGATAAGTAAGATCGCTTTTATTTGTCTCGTTACTCACAAAATGCCACAAATTAAAAAGCCAACAGAAGACAAGCGTTATTACAAAGTGCTGCTGAACAAAGTGTGTGGGGTATTACAAAGTGCGACGAGATTATTACAAAATACTATAGGTAGAGTATAGGCACAAGGGGTCACTGGCTAGTGCCGTACTTCACTTTTCTTGAAAAAAGCAAGCACCAAAACATTAATTCTTCTAATAATCTTTATCCCCTCTTGAGCGGTTGATAAACAGATAAAAACAACAATCGGCGCCGTACCCGTAAAAAATAATTTGTGTTTTCATCGAGTTTCGCAGTTCTCCCTTTATCAGTTGGTAGGTAAAAGAAGCTTGTAAACACAGCCAGGGATATGTGAGAGAGTTGCTGCAGTTCTTAAATCATCTGCCAGTGCTATTTTCCAGGTGGTCGTCCTTTCATTTATCTACTGGTTGTTTACTGGTAGCTAGGTGTCAAAAGCAGGAGGGGGGAGGGGGAGGGTGTCTTCTTGTGACGTCTTCACTTAGCTAGGTTTAAGTTTTGACTTTGTCTCTGGGCGCTTTTCGCAATTGTTGGACATTGCTTGAGGTTTTGTGTCGAGAGGACACCCTGTGGAAGGGCACATACCAATTTCCTAGTCGTCGGCGGGGGGGTGGTAAAGGGAATAACGGCCCCCTGGACAGTATTGTGTAAGCTGGGACTTGTTTTTGTGAGTCGAGTAATACNGGGGGGGTGGTAAAGGGAATAACGGCCCCCTGGACTGTATTGTGTAAGCTGGGACTTGTTTTTGTGAGTCGAGTAATACATATTTTACACCTTAGTGATCTCATGTAAGGATTTTCTTGTACATTAAATTTCCAAGAGGCATCCATGTTATAATTATTTTATTTGGCTGACTTACACGTGCTATGTTTTGAATGTTAGAAATGTATGCAAAAAACCTCTTATGTTTTATGATTACCAATGAAGCTGTTTATTGTGCCCTTTGGCAAACAACAACTTAATTTGCGAGAAGGCATTGAAGCGATATCTATGACAATGTAAATATTTTCAGTTTATACTCTCAGCTTTGCTTTGCTTTCAAAGTGTGCTATAATATGTCATAATTAAATAGCAGCGCATTTAATACAACAGCGTTGTCTTCTTTTACTTTCTCTTTGGGGTTGCGTATGCCTGAATTCGTTCTTTGTGATATGAGTTGATTTAGGTACTTTGTAAAACTTACAGGTTTGTTAGTTTGTGTGTTCTCCTTTGTTCGTATCTATCAAATGAACTGGAAAATTCACTGATATGGAAATATTCCAAACACGATGTAATGTTAATAGCTTCATTGCAAAAGAGAGGAAAGTCACAATTGAAAATAGACTAGTAATATTTTAATGTTATTAGCATTATTATAAATAAATTTCTCCTTCAGAAAGATTCTGTACAGCCTGACTACCAAATGTAAATCCTACGAAATATATCGTCAAAAACAGCGAATAGCAAAAGGGGAAAAGAAACCTTGAGTATCTGTCAATTTTGTTTCCGTCTACAGTGTAATGAAAAGTTTTCTTTATTTTCTCCATAACTGACTTTCGATCGCCATATTTATATTTCCTTAAGATGGGCTTTGAGTGATTGCAAGTCTTGATGGGTCTCTTTGGTCCATTGTGTTTGTAGATTTTACCGTTTTTATTACCCTTCAAAGTACCAAGAGCGTTATCCAGGGAATCGGTAAAAATGTATGATTTGCCTCCCATGCAAATTCGTATCTCCATTCTATGACAGTTGTCGACCTGAAGTACGAAAGTAAAAGAAAGAAGGAGAAAAAAAAAACATTAACACAATGTTACATTTTCAGTAGTAAGCGTAACTGTCTAAGTAAAATGCCTGTAAGCCAATAAAACAACTTCTTGTTTCCTTCATGGCGCCAGAGTCAAGTTCTATTTTAGTTCTATTTTATTAGTATAATGAGTTGTTCTGAGATAATGTACGGGATCCTAAAAGTGATAGACCATATTCTTATTCTCGTTATTGGACTGGAACTAACTTGCAATGGAGGCTCATGCGGGGGAATATCATTAAAATGAGATGAATATCATTTGCAAATGAAAAGATTCCCCGCATTAGCCTCAGTTGCAAGCCAGTTCCAGTCCAATACCAGGAACACGACTATGGTCTATTGTGCGCACGATTGCATCAACACCCGGGCGTACAAGTTAGCTGGTTTGGGATAAAAGAAAACCTATAAAACGTTTGCAAATGATACCGCCTCAACATATCCGTTATTTTCGATCTGATTACATCCCAAGCCAGTATTCTTACCCAGTCTTCTTTGGCCAAAGCAGTATGGGCTCTGTCTCCAGGAACAAAACTCCCGACATACTTCATCCTTCTAGAATACCTTAGGACAAACACGTACTCTACCAGAGTAAAGAATATGAATCCAAAAGACATCAGTAAAAAGTAGTCGATAGCCTTGAGGTAGGACACGCGTGGAAGGTTGGAGTTCACGGAACCCAACATATAACTGATAGTCAGTACTGTGGTGATGCTGAGGCCGACACGTGCTGGAATCGCCTCTGGATCAATCCAGAAGCTGACCCAAGAGAGAGCCACGATACATACGCAGGGTATGTACATCTGGAAGATGTAGTACATTGTACGACGTTGGAAGTGTATGGTGACTGTTAGACCGGAAAATGATTCTAAAGATACAAGAAACCTTAAGCTAGTTAAGTGAATCGAGTCTACCTATACCATGTGCGCTAAATCACACTGTT